GAATGAGGCTTTCCACAATGTACATCTTTCAGGGAGAAAAAAAAGGACCAACATTCTGTTACCTGCAGAGCAAAGCTGTAAAAGCAGGACAGGAAATAGAGGGGGCAGCAAGCAAGACTCAACTGGCAAGTAATATCCCAGGCTTCTAGTTCCCAGATACTCTATCAAACACTGTCATAGTACTCAATGCTTGCAGGTTACATCCATAGCCTATTAAACTGTGGATGCCCTCCTTTGGACAAAGTAGGTTATTTCTAGTAACACTTCTTCCTTTCTCTCTGAATTGTAGGCCTCACCAAAACGAGGGTAGAACTGTACCAGCAGCACAGCATGAACTACTGTACAAGCAGTACTTTAACTGTTACACTTCCTAGATGCACAAGATTGCTCAAGCACGCCACGTCCCAATTCCACAACATTTATTTCACCTCTTCAAAATGGAAACAGGAGAACTTCAAAGAGGAATCGGGCTGCTCATCTGCACACAACTTCATATGCAAATAAATATTTTGCATGTGCTGAAATATTTTCCACAATGGTTCTCTAACTGACTATTTTCAGACACTATACAAAGCTCCTAATTTTATGTATTAATTTTAAACAAGCCTTACAGGTTCAGAGCTTTAATATACTTCAATGGGATGTAAGTCAAATAAAAATATTTTTCTCAAACATAACAAATTAGGAATTTTGCTACACAGTATAGGCTGGGTTTTGTTTATTTTTCAGTGTTTGTCATGTATTTCCATGCTTACAAGAGCACTGACAATTAAACTGAAGCAACGTTAAAACTGAAATGCTACCTACTCCTCAGACCATTCCCCTGCAACAAAACCCTCGGAATATTTCAGAATGCTTTTATGGTTTGTCTGTTTCATCATCAACTCCACCAAGTCTGGCAAGAGAAGATGTGAAAGCAGACCAGCCCTACTTCTGCAGGATCAGCATACATTGTGATAAGGCCACCAGTACCCTACTGATAATATTACTTCCATAAATAAAAGGAGAACTATCAAAAAATGGTGCAATTATAGAATACAGGCAGTGAGCAAGTGCATGACATACTCTGAAGCATGACAATAAGTTAAAGTATCAGCAGACAGGTTATCAGTTAGTTTCTGATATACTGCTCTGCTGTGGTCTGAAGTTATGCTACTGTACTGCCTTTTGACAACGGATATTTTAAATACTGTGTGAAACCCCCATTTCTCTTGAAATATTCAAATTATCTTGAATATTGATTTTAAATATTCATTTGTTTATAATTGTATTTACACTATTCTTCCTCCAAATAAATGCAGATGTGCTTTTTAAAGGAAAATTTAAGATAAAGGATTTAGCTTTTGGTTCAGTGACACTACCATACCTATCACTCCCAGAAACAATAGTATTTATAGACCTAAAAATATATTATAGCACACATCTGTATAATTTTATAAGTATGGTACACTATTACATATTACAGCTGCAGCAACCACATTAAAAATATTAACCTGCTAACACAGGGCATTAAACACCTAAGAGAGCACTTCTGCATGCCCAGCAGGCTCAGTACTGATAAGGTCCTGCACATCAGCAGCTAAAAGTAAACTGTGGCAAGATGCACCGACACACCTTCACCAGACAGCCCAAGTGCTTGAGCACAAGAAGCCACACACTGGAGAGTTAATAAGGAAATGGTAGCACATACGGATGTGTATTCACAAAATAGGTCTCCAGTCTTAAAGTTAGTGAAAATTTACACTTTGAGGTTACCAAATCCTAAATTTCCCCTCCACTCCTCCAAAAGTGAGCAGAGACTCCGAAATGTAGTAAAGCACCTTGATTATAGAAAAATTAATCTTCCAACTATAAACACATTTAAAACTGAAATTCATGAAAATGCAGTGTTTAAGGAATATTTCCTTCAGGTTCTTGATCTCAAAATCATCATATTACTACAAAATTCTCTTCGTGTTTCATTCATGCTGCTAATGCTTCCAGTCCAATCTCCCATAGAAGATTAAAGTATCAAAATATCTAAGCAAGGAGACAGCCTTCTAAAAAAGGTAACTGCCTTTCTACATCAACTATTCCTAACCTATCACATGACATTAATAAACTGGTCACCATGCAAACAAGAATACTAAACCAAAAGACAGTTATAATCTAGCAGATTTGAGTAATTTAGGTGAAAAAAAGCGACAAGCCCTTAGAAAGGAATTTGTGATTTCCACTGGTAATTGTTTAGGTAATCATTCAGAAAACTTAAAAACCATCAGAAATCACTTTTGAAGGGCGAGTTCAAAACCTAATAAATTAAATGATAGCATTATGATTTCTTGTTCCCCCAGAAGATTACCAGCATTAATAACGAATAATCCCTTAAGTCAACCAGGCTTTAAAATAAACACAGTGCTATACTGAAAACCATCTCACCTCCGTGGAAAAGTAAAACACAGGCTCAGTAACAAAACTAGGACCTAAACTCTATCAAAGAATATCTGCTCCTTGAAAATACTCAATATTAGCTTAACTCTTCTGTCATTAACTGTAACACTGATAAATTCTTTTCCTTTTAAAAAAATAAAGACAACCCTAAGCAGTTTTCAATTCCTCAAAAATGCATGGAACGAGGCAAATAATTAACAGCTCCTTGTACAAAAACCACCAATACCGTTAATCTGTTTTATTAAGAACACTTACTAAGCTTACCACAGTACATCTAGAGAAAGCTGTCTTAAAGAAACTGAGCAAGCGCTCGCCAGCCAGGCTGATCGAGAGAGCACTGAAAGTCCTGACAGCCAGACAGACACTGTTTAATCACAGCCACACTCTACACTTGGAGCAAACAGGGATGGTTTTTGGCAAGGTCTCGTTCCAAAATCACATCTCAGCTCATCGCAGAGTCTTCCACCCTCCCACACCGAAAGCCATGGGAAACGACACTGACGTAAAAACCTGGAACTGAGGAAGCCCTTCCTAAAGATTCTTTTTGGGCAATACTGCAAGCACTTTAACCTGCGCTCACGCCAATGGGTGAACGCTCAAGTCAGCAGTATCGCATCACCCGTTTTCCCGAGGGGTTCGAGTCAGTGTCCCTGTCCTGCCCTCGCTCCCCAGCCCATTCCCAGCTATCCCCCCCTCTCCCAAGGCGAGCTGTGCCCCGCAGCCCGTCCCCTGTCACAGCGGGGCTGTGCTCTGCAGCGAGAGCAAACATCCTGCCGGGAGGGGCAAACAGCGCTCTCCAAACACAGCCCGCGTACCTGCCGGGGCGTTTATCGCTCCAGGAAAAGGTGGGACACCGCGCCCGGCCGCACAAGGATGTGCAAGCCGGATCAGGGAGCCCGGCGGCCCTGCCCCGAGAGCCCCGCTCACCCCGACCGGCCAGCGGGGCCCGACCCCGCGCTCCCCCACAGCCCGTGCGGCGCGGGGGAGCCCCGCGGGGCCGGACCCGCCCGCTCCTCCCGCGGCCGCGGCCCGCCGCCCCCCGTCCCGCCCGCCCGGCCGCGCTCCCCGAGCGCCGCTGCCGGGGAAGCCGGGCGCGGCCTCACCGTGTGCTCGTGCTCGTCGGCGCGGGCGCGCAGCGGCAGCAGCGGCAGGAGCAGCAGCGGCAGGAGCGGCAGCAGCAGCCCCGGCGCCGCCATCTCGGGCCTCGGCGAACCCAGCAGGCCCCGCCGCGGCACCGGCCCGCGCCCGCCGCACACGACACTTCCGCCCCGCCCGCCACGTCACCCGCCCGGCCGCCGGAACCGCGGGGGCGCTACGGCAGCCCGGCAGCGCCACGGGAGCGGCACCGGAGCGCCGGCGCTGCGGGCACAGAGCGGGCCGGGCGAGAGCGGCGTCTGCTCTTACCCGGTTTAATTACGCCTGATAAAATCGAAACATCCTGATCGATTCAATCATCTGCAGTTATTTGGGAACATCGCGGCGCGGGGCTGTGCGGGAGTCCCCGCTGGAGCACAAGTCCCGGGAGGAGCGGCTCGGGGAGCCGGGGTGGTGCAGCCTGGAGAGGAGGAGGCTTACGGGAGACAATCGCTCCAAAAACACCTGAAAGGAGGCTGTACCCAGGGGGGTCGGGCTCTTCTCCCAGGAAGCCAGCGACTGGACGAGAGCACAGGGGCTCCAGCGGCACCAGGGGACATTTAGGTTGGACACTGGGAAGAATTTCTTCACGGAAGGGGTGATCAGATATTGGAATGGGCTGCCCAGGGAGGTGATGGAGTCACCATACCTGAAGGTGTTTCAGGAAAGACCGAACACGGCACTTAGTCCCGTGCTGCTGGTGACAGGGTGGTGTTCGGTCGTAGCTTGGACTCTCGCAGGTCTTTTCCAGCCTAATTGATTCTGTATCGTACAGGGTCCCACCCTTCACACCCCTCGCACAGGCAGTAGGAGCTGCAGGGGCCGAGGGTGGGCACTGAGGCGACACAGCCACAACCGGACCCAACCCAGGGGAAGGTTTCCATCAGTGCTGGCTAAGATAAAGCCTGCAAACCTGCCTGTGAACTTGGAACTACATCAAGCTAAAAGTCCAAAGTAAAAAACCCCAGACAAATCCCCCAATCCAAAAAGCTCACGGTATTAAGGATTAATTCATCAGACAACTTTTAAACAACACATACAGTAAAAACATTCAGAGGCTATCTGATATTAAAAAAAAAAAAAAAGGGAGCTACACCATCTTCTCAAATATTGCACAAGCCAACAAACAGACAATGAGGGACATGAGCAGAAGGCAGGCACTGCTCAGTGCTGGTACCTGCCATCCATGCTTTGTACGAATGATGCAAAAACAGATGTTCCTATTAACCACTGACCACCATACTTAGACTAGAAGCTTTTCTCCTTACGGTCTTACACAGTCAGTCTACCAACCCAAACATATTTTGCAAGATGCATTTGTATAAAGCCTTTTCCAGATAGAGCATCTACTGTGTCTTGCCTGTTTTGGTAGAAGGTCCCTGCAGAGAGAGATACTTGCCAAAACCTATGCAAAAGCCCTGATTATATTACCCACACATACACAAAGAAAAACTAGACAGCTTTGGTAACAGCATATGCTTCTTTCTAGTCATTGCATCTCAGTCCAAAACAGAATAGCTTACCCTTGGGAGACAGAGAGAGGAGGCTTCACCATCTTCAGTTTATTCAGCATTAAAGTCTCAGTCAGCAACAGGGCCAGCCAGAGCTATCTGCTGCAGCAGAGTTTTCAAGGCATGCTGTACAAAGAGCAAACAGTTCCCTTGGGCCAGCCAGCTGCCAGATGAGTTTGGTGGATTGGTTGATGCCCCCACTGCTGGCCAGGCCACTTTTACCAGCAACTTTATTATCTGTTCAGTCCTTGAACTCTAATGTCCATCAGAAACACTCTTCTCTTCATTCCCACTCTGCCCCCCAAGCATATTCTTGAGTGACCAACAATCTGGTAGCATGCAGTTTTCTTCACTGGTCTCTTCTAAGCTTCAGTTTCACCACACTTCTCATCCTGGGTGGAAGCAACACACACCACGTGCTCACCAGCACAAATGGAGTCTAGAGATAGAAGGACTCCATATATTGAGATGTAAGAGGCTTAAAGCAACTGTATGAATCCAACCTGTGTGGAACATACACTTTGGTGGCTAAGCAGGGGCATCTCTACTGGCCTGCAAGAGACTTGGAAGTCATGCCTGCATCCCCGCTGTTTACCTGCATTTAACAGTGAAGCCGTTTTAGCACTGTTCCTTTTCTCCTTGATAGGGTGATAGTTTTGCAGCGATTGCTGGTCAGTGAGATCCGCAATTAATCCAGCAGAAGTGAGGCAGGAATGCCTGAAACTACAGCTGCATCTTCAATTTCCCTCCCTTAGGCAGTGCAGAAGGGGCTTGAACAGAATGCATTTATAATATGCCTCAGCTCCACCTGTCCCAGCTCACCTCTCCTCCAAAACAGATTTTGTATGATAGGTCAGGTCAGAGTAAGGAAGTATCAGAGCTTCAAATGAGAGAGGGATTGAAAGGCTACTTATGAGGTGCTTTTCAGCAGTTCAGATATAAACCATCTCATCACAGCACTAACAATAAAATTCCAGTTCACAGACATGTTATCAGGATTGTGCAAAGGCAAACGCTTAAGTATGGTACATTAAAAATTAGCTTGAGAAGATGGATCCCTGGGGTGCTTCAGTCCAATAGCCTTGAAAGGAAATCTTCTGCATAATATGCTTTTATATTTTTCTCTTAATTTCCTGCCTTATTACCGTTTTCCCCACATCCTACAATTTTACCTTATGCTGTGCCTGACAGATGTGGAAGCAGATAAATTCCTCTTATCACATCACGTCTCCAAGCTCTGGGACACAGCTGCAACCAGCACTAAGGAGATGGGGAAATTTAAACAGAACCAGGGAGTTTGCAAACCAAAGCATGTGGCAGCTGAAAACAATCAAGGTGGTGAATTTCCTCTTTTGGTTTATTTCATTTATCCCTAATTCTTTCACTTATCCTTGCTACTGTTTTCCTCATTTCAGCACCAAAACCTCCTTCCCTGCTTCCAATTTGACCTAATAGTGGTGGAAACCTTGTTTCATTCCAAGGGGAGCACAGGAAGGCAGCTCCCACCTCACTGTTCCCTTGACTACTGTGAACAAAGAGCAAACTGTAACTGAGAGTCTATAATGCCAGACTTACTGGAGAAGGCACTGAGGTCCTTTAAATAAGAAAAAAACCCTAAACAGAAAGGACACCTCTGTAACTATAGGTCTGCAGCACAACACCCGCATCCCTCTATCATCAAAAGGAGAGGATATTTGGAGTCATACACTGGGAGCTCAATGCATAGATGGTATTTAACATGTGCCTATACCCCTGAAAGCAGCAGGGGCTTCTCCATCTTCATTCAGTACTGGCTGAGTCAGAGTTGCTGTCTTGTCACTCCTGCAGCTTCACACATTGGGTTTGCCACCCTACAGGAGAAAGGAACTGCAACTCTGTGACCTGCTCTCTCACAGATGAAGAGGAGCTGACATGATTGGACAGAAGCTTTATGTGTCCTACCTGCACCTGAGGGATCACCTAACACAGGTGTATCTATGTCTTTTTCAGGGCTGGAGAGGGAGAATGGCTTGAAAACCAAGTAGGTAATGATGCTTAATTCTCCACCCTGATTGTTATCTTGAAGAATTCCCATCTGTGTCACTCTTGGACAACCAAGACTATACTTGTCGCCCAAGGGCCAGGATATGCACAAAAGATTTCAAGGTCTGGAAGAGAGCCAAACCAGGAAGCCTCCTTAAGTTTGTAAGCCCTTAGGCAGAAAAAAGGCTGGACACAGCTGTTGTGGATTCACATTGCTAGAAAGGAACTGTAGAGCAAGGAGAGTCCAGCCCCCAGGCTGCCTGTTTCCACTGCAGCCAGCTAAAACACAGCTGGTATTTGTGAAGTGTGTGCACTGATAATTGGAGACTCACTGTACTATTCCTGAGCATGAAGTGAAATGCCTTCATATTGCTTCTGTGATGACCACATGTAAGAGATACAGAACACAGTACTGCCACCAGTTCCTTCCTCTGAGAGGCCAGTCTTACGATTTCATAACACCATACCCACCCCCTACACACAAAAAAAAGGTTTAAGTACAGTTGGTTTGTGATATACAGCAGGTTCCTTACCAACTACCTTGGAAATTTTCATGTTAAATTCAGCACACACAACCCCCTTGTTAATGTCTGTCCTCTTCAGGGAGGAAAGGGAAAGGAAAAGGCATTTTCAAGGCTGTATGCAAAATACATTCTTCAGGACAGACAATTTCTCATCCTCCCATGGTTTAATGATTGCTGGAGGAGGATGCTATGCCTTCTGAAAGGTCAGTATATCTGTGCCCAAAATGTTTTGCCTAACAGCAGTATATTCACCTGCTCCTGCTGTCATGAGCATTCTTCAAACAACTTATTTTCTTTCGTTTTTCAAGTATGTTTTCCAGTCAAGCCCTTGCAGACTGTGTTGAGGGGTTTAGTAACAATGCTTATCAGCATTTAGTTCTTAAAAGGACATGTGTGTTTTCTTGGTCAAAAGGAAACTTCATGTCAGTGCAGGGCTCCTAAGACACACATCAGCATTCTCCTTCCCAACCGTGACACTTTTTCTTGAAGCCCCAAAGCACCAAAATTCTTCCAACTAAAAAAAGATATGGAAGGCCAAGAAGTCTCAGTGAAAATCATGGGGAAAGTCATCAGAGCTTCAGGGAGGAGGAAGGGGATGAAAACATTTGGGTCCTGCTAATAAATAATTTAAGACAGCAAAAAAATATCTGTACAAACACATGTATAAAAAGAAAAAATCTCATATTCCACAGCTGTTGAGAGATTCAGCGACCTCTTGGTGGTACAGGTGGAGGATAAAAGTCTTCACAGCTTACAGGCCTATAAAAAGACAGAATAAAAATGCATGTAAAAATAGTAGAAAATAGAGTTCTGGAACAACACATTATATGCAATAACATCATATGTGAGAATACTGTACAAGCAATAGTCATACAGGAAGAAAAACAGGCTATCAGTGATTCAGCAACAGAGCAGATGCCAAGCTGCCAAAGCCTGTTCCTGTCCAAGCTATTTCTTCTGCTCTTCAACTGCAGTAATTCTACTATTACTGTAAAGAGATGCTATAATAGTTGGTTGGAGTACAACTTTGATAGTATGGTAGCTTTCTCCTGAATATTATATGAAAAGCAGTAAGAACAGATTAAAAGATTCTAAATCTTTTTTCCAACAGACTACAGATAAATTCCAACTATATTCTTTGCCAGAGCCAAGCCAACATACAGAACTTGCTGCACCCACACAGTGGTAATTACTGCTTTAGCAGTTGGAGAATTTTATTAGTATCTGTACTGAGATAACTTTTTGGGGCTTGGACTTCATAGACTTGCACTGTTTGGAATGTTTACAAGTTACTGAAGTTTGTGGTGCCGTGCAAGAACCTCAGTGACAGCACTGCAGTAGGAATTCTACCAACTAGGAAACTGATTCGTCCAGGTATTACAGATGAGAAACAAGGATCTTACAATTCCTAACGGTGTGTGTTGGACAGATAACAGTCTGGTAGATTTTGTTCAAAGACATACTTGCTTCCTGCTCTGCTGCCTGCCTCGAATTTTGTCCAAGGCTTCCATATGGATTCATGGAAAACTCATGTTTGAACTGCCTTTTAGCTTTACCTGCTTGCACCTCGAGGAGGCACTCTGGGAGGCCTTTCTGGAAAAGGCAGCCTCTCTGCTTGGTGGGCGACTGGGCTGCGGCTCCGAGTTGTTTCTGGGACTTCATTGTCCTACAAAACAGAGAGAAGTCTTTACAGACCAGCAAAACTTGCTTCTTGCTAGCTTCACAACAGAAGTGGCTACATTTTTCCATTTCTGCAAGTGCAGTGCCATCTCTGAGCTCCTTTTTTTTTGTGTGAAAAGAAAGCCATGTACTTAAGAACAGCGGTATATAGCAAAGGTGAGAGCTTACCTCACTGTCCCCTTCCATCCCACTGCTGACACTCAGTATGCTCCGAGTGCTGGAGCGGTTACTTGCACTACCTAGAAAGCAAGAGAAAACAAACTGATTATTAAATTCTGGTGATTTAACTGCAAATCACTAACTCAGGGCTCTTTTAACCCCATGCTTAAGTCTTGCACACATAATTTAATTCTTGCTTAATTTATTTCCACTGTTATTTTTCACATGTTCAGGATCCAAACAGCAGCATTTCATACAAACCACAGGGCCACACCATTCAATTATGTTTTCTTTCTAGAAGACTTCTGCCCTATCTAGATTCAGTCTTCTGTTAAATGCTCATAACCATAAGTTAACTGAAAAGATCTGGTGCCAATATCACCAGGCAAGTCAGGCAAATATTTTCACAAGGGTTACACACCCAGCGTTTATATATATTTAAATTATCAGTCCCCATATCTTTAACAACTGCATGAAAGTAGACAGCTCTGAGCACTGTCACATATTCATAACTGGAAAAAGTGACTGCTTGAGAAGTAATTGTTCCAAATAGCTGCTTACCACCTCCTCTCACAACAACCCTCACTCATTGCAAGAATGTTTCCTAGTCTGTTTCTAAGCTAAAATGACAAGTTTGTTCAAACAACCTTCAGTAACCATCTATACAAACCCATTCAACTGTCACGGACTCAGAGGAGGGATTATTTTGCAATCAGTCATGCCATCTCCAAAGGTGACAGCAACTCACAAACATATCCTACACTGTTATGGCTGGTTTCAGCTGTAGACAGATGATGTTCTATAGGACTGTGAAATACTGGGACACTAATGTTCAGAAACCTCTATACTGAAATGGTAACTACAGGTTTTCTCCTAATACGCAGTCCCCCTCCCTACTAGCTTTGGTAACATAACTCTCTTTATCAGCTAGTACAAACAGCAGCACTTAAGAGTGCTAACTACTGTAGTATGGTCCATTCTCACAATCATACCATGAGAAAGAGCACCAAGCTGCACACAGAGAACTCTGCAGACTTTTAACATTTCTCTCACAACTGCTTGTATGCAAGTTAATGGTTCAGTAGGCTGCCTCAGGCACCTACTCCCGATGTGTGCCAGCTATATCTTGCCAAGAGTCAAAGGTAATAACCTCACTGGGACTCAGTTTTCCTTTCAGAGGACCAAAATGATCCTAATGCTCTCTGCAAGAATTGCTCAGTCTGCAGTAAGAGCAAGAATGCAGGGATTTAATTTGCACAAATTAAACCTAATGAAAACCAAAGATAATAAAAATGTGCAGACTGTTCAAGTCACTCAAGAGGTCCCACAGTTACCAATGAAAAATGCTGTCCTTTTTCTACAACAATTGAGGAAATGACACGTAGAGACCGGTTTCCAGCCTGAAATATAAATATGCCCTTCAGGCCAGAAGAGCACACAGCCTGCTGGCAGTCACAGCACAGGAGCATCCTTCCCAGTAAGTGAGCAGCTGCCATCTACTTTTAAGAACTGCAGACAGGTGGTATGCCTTCCCCAGAACTACTCAAAGGAATCTTCTGCTCAGCTTTCAGGTACTCCTCCTGCAGAGATGCAGACACAAGATGCCCAAACCACTTGATGTACACCTGGAGTTGCTTTTACAGTTTTGAGAACAGCCCGCCTGAGGCATGCAGGGTTTGGGGTGGCAGTGTCAGTGCTGGGATTCAGGAACAGAAGTCCTCTCCCCTGAGCTGACTCGAGGGTCAGGCTGGGGAAGTGTTTTCCATCCAGGTTTCCTGTAGAGAGGGTGACACTCAGGGCTTGCTTACTTGTTGTGCTGGATGTGCTTTCTGTTTTCCAGTCTCCTCGCTTTAACTCCTTTTTTGGTGGAAAAACGTTTTTCCTGGGGGTGTATTCATATATTCCACATTCTGGTCTCCCCAAAGTATTATGAGAACGTCGAATGGGTACTGTAATTTCTAAATCTGGAAGGGAAAATGAACACCTCAGAAGGACCTGTGAAATTATAGCCTCCGAGAAAGGTTTTGAACTTAAGAACAATCACATAAGGAGAATCGTAACTATACATGAATGAATCAAGATGCACTCCACAGATGTGGGCATATTTTCCTTGTCTGTGAAACTGAGGAGTGAAGAAACTTCCCTACATTTTTGCCAACTGGCACATGGATGTGCATGTTAAAACATCACAGAAATACCATATACACGGACATATTCCTGCCTGAAGAGCCTATTAAAATGGTTAGGTGCTTCATTACCAGAGAATGTGTGAATCAGAGACTGTTACCTGCACTTTTGTGTTTTTTTTGCTTCTCCATTTGCCTCCTGGTTATGCTGTCTCGTAGACGTTTCAGATTTTCCTAGAAACATCATAAGATACTTTTTTCAGGGCTTTGGCTAAAAGACGATGAGCAGCTTTCTGACAAAACTAATATTATATTTCATCTAACTTTGCAGCCAAGCTGTAACAAAGCCTGCTAGACCTGGCTGAAGTCCAAACCATATCAACAGGTTTTAATCTACTCCCTTCAGAAATCCATGTGTGCCTTTCAGAAACCAAGATTTTTTAGATGTTCACTGTGTATGTTAAGGTCCAGTTCATACACTCGCTGGCAGTTGCAGATAAGCAGCACATTGGGTTTAGAATTCCCTCTATTTTCTGTTTTCACTGTGACACTGGCACAGAAACAAGACCCACAATCAAATAACTGCAAAGTCCCTTCTGTACTAATAAACAGGTAATTCTGACTGCAGGGACAGAAAAGGCTGCCACGCATCCCAGAGTGTGAGGGACAACTCAAAGAATTCAGGACATCCCCAGTGAAGCAAGAGGGGACACCTGGAAGTGTAACTGGGAGCAAAGTCTCTTCACCATTGTATGGCAGCATACTGCACCTTACCATGTGAAATGGTGGGTAGAAAAAAGACAACTTTTTTCAGCAGGGAAATATGTACATATCTGAGAGGAAATACGGTGGAATCAGTGGAAAAGTAGGTGAAGCAATTGCTGTACCATGAAGCAAGATTTGGAGCAGAGACTTTGAAAGCTGCTCATGGGATGGGGCACAGAGCATACCACTTCATCTCTTCTACAGACAAGTGCTAAAGTAGCACTGTGTTCTTCACTGATGGGAGAAGGGATTCCTCTGACTGTTTCTGGGTAGAGAAAACCCTTCCAAGTGAGAATGAGAAAAGCCTCGACTTTGTTCCGACAGTTCCAAAACAACATCACACACACTGGAGACCAGCACCTCAAGTGTGAGAGCAGACTGCCACAGCACGAGCAAAAGGCTGCAAAAGAAGCAAGCAAGGTTTTAAAGCGGGAGCCTCGAACTAGAGAATGAAAATTTTAAACTATGTAAGCTAGTTACATCAGTCATTATGTCGCTGCTGCCAACAAAATGACTCCCCTCATTCAGTCAAGCCACCCAAACACTCTGCTTTTACTAATGACTGTTTCTAGACCTTGCCCAGCTGCAAAGAACAGTCCTGGAGCCATCAACAATCACCCAGGGAGGGATTAGACCATCTACCACCTAGGACTTCACAGCCAACACACCATCTGGGACACAGTCTTCAATGATCTGAAATGGATGAGAACTGACAAGCTAAATGCTCATGCCAGAAGTCCCCTGCCAGTAGGTAGCTGCTAGGTGACCTCTGGAAAGGTAATTTAGCCAACTGGATTTGGTCCAATTGGTAGTGCACAGATCTCCAAAAACTAACAATATTGCTGCAAGAAAAATGGATCTGTAAAACAGCTACCTGCTTGCTGCTGCCTGGGAACAGCCCCTCCGTGTCAGGAGAGAAGTGTGCTAGCTGGGGGACTGCGTTAGCAGTCTGCCTGCTCCAACTGGGAAAGGAATGTACCCGCTCTGAAACGGCTTGTGATAGAACCTAGAGAGACAGCTGTACTTCTTAAACAGTAAAGTAAGTCTGTACCTGCTGGAACCGGAATGATTCTGATCTCTTTTTCTGATTCAGTTGCCACTCCTTAAAATGAAGTACAGCTTCATCCACAGTGAGTATGCCCATTTTCACTTGCTCCTGTAATGTAATCAGCTGCCGTTGGCCTGGGGTTTTCATTCCAGCAAATGGATCATATATGCTTGATTGAGACAGGTCCCTTACAGGCCTGACTATTGTCTCTGAAGAAAGAACACCACCAAAAGTATTATTGAACTTGTGGTATCTGCCTTCCCCACTGAATACAAAGAGGTCAAGCACTCTTAGATGAGAAAAAAAAAAAAATCAATATTACAGACTTTAAGTTTCCTAAGAAGTGTTTTGATCTTAGGCCATCCTGCTATTTGTTAGGGCTAAAAGCCCAGCTGAGAGGTAGCCTTGTACACAAATACTTTCCAGACATAATATCTGTTCTTAAAATCATAATTTAAGAGAACATAACAAAATACATTCCTTAAAGTGCTCAGCTTCCTTAGCAATCCACAAAACAGAGCTTTCACCTTGGCAGTCACAAAGCTAGACTCTTCCTAGGTAATTTGTACAGTGTAAGTCCAGAAACTGAAAACTCATTCTACTGATGCTGGCATTTTGTAACTCATTTGTAACATAGAGAGAAGTTCCCAACACATGAGCTAAAAGCTTAGATGTGGTACCTGGCACTCTAATAGTGCATAGGATAAGAAATGAAAGTATAAGGACAGAGTTTTGGATTTGCAAAGATCATTGGCAATCAGTTCGCTAAAAGTGAAATCATGGGAAATAATGATTAACAAGGAGTGGATATATACAGAACATTAAAAGTGGGACATCATTCGCATGAAGTAATATGGTTCACACCATAAAAAAGGATTTCAATGACCATTATGATCCTGACTGAGGATATATCAACTCCAAGACAGGGGACACATGTAGAGTACATGATAAAAGGATATAGTTATAAAAGTTTCCAATGTCACATAAGGTCAAAAAGGTTGGGTCATTCATAAAGGACTATTATCACCAAAACTTTGTAAAACAGTCTATTCTGTCATATTTCATGCAAATGAAGCTATCTCAGCAGATCTGCTTTTGGATTACTGGAAGGATTTTCAGTGAACTTCTGACTTACCTTTCTTAATCCTTCCTCTAGGGACATAAAGATTCTCAGGTCTTTGAGCTTTCTGTGCAAAAACTGCAAAACAAACATTCTTTAGATACTGAAATGCATCTCACAAAGACAGGAATAGCAAGGATGAATATGGGAAGTACAATTCTGCAGTGCATTACAGCTTCTGTTACCCTACTAAGTCCATTGAAGAAAACAAAGATCTGTACAGCAGAATTCCCTTTCTATTCACCTCAAAGAATTTAGCCCAGTTACCTCTAAAAGAAATCTGGACATGCTCTCCCCATAGTCCTGTCATTGGAGAAAGGAAAGTCACTGAAATTACTCTCTCACATGGTACTGTGGTTCTTGTTGTGTGTGTGAAATATGACCGAGATTTCCAAAACTGCCTAGCAAACTAAGAGGCACAATCTTCTTCAGTTTCAATTAAACCCCACATCAGAGGGAGATCTCGAGATATAAAACCATGCCTTATATAAATGTGATTGAATCAATGATACTATTACTGAGCAGCAATGTCTCAATTTATTAGCTTGATTGTGTCCTTATAATATCAGTATCTTTCCTATTTAGTTGGATTTGTTTATACCATTTGGGGGTAATCTGTCATCCTGCTGATTTCATTAAGAGCAAGCTCAGGCCACAGTCTTGAGATACAACATCCCCGTATTTTCAGAGTAGACAGAAGATGAAAAACATATGAAATTGGATCCTAAAGGTGGTCCGACTCCAGAGTAAAATAATACAGGGATCTCAAAAAGTTTAGGCTTTCTTGGCATTTATTTGGCAACTGAAGCCAATGTCAATGCCATACTACAGTTGACTAGTCTACATTTCCACTGGTACCCAACTCACTTTTGGAGATGTACAGCTCATTGTCTGGCTGTGGAGAACTAGACTCTGGTCTTGGAACAGGAACTGGAGGTCTGTTGGCCATTTCCTGTGGAAAAGTATCTTGTTCCACCCGGTAGTATACATCTTCAACACACGGCTCGTAAACTCCTTCCTCTGAATCTGGCACATCCACGCTACTGCCTACAACAGAGTACAGTTTGTAAGAATAACAACTTGGTCACTTCACTGAACACTGGATCCCTCCAGATGCATTATGTACCACATTTTTACCAAGCTGGCCATTTCACAGGCAAAAGCAGCCAGTTTTGCAGTGACTTTAGAGTGCCAAAGCCCTTCAGGACAGAACTTGACTTGATAAAGTCATGAACATCTAGTAGTGTATAACTGTTTGCCACTAAACCTGCACCACCTGTTTTGGTGAAGAAATAGTGAAAAACCTCCTAACTCCTTTTAAGAACTTGAAGAACAGTTAGTGGCATAATACTGTAATAGTTAACAAATCAAGCAGAGCACTGGTTTCCAAAACCTATTTATGACAGTCTACAAAGTACTAAAGAGAATTGTTCCTTTGTCTGAAATAAGCAAACAATGTGGACTATCTCCTATCCTTAAGAGAAATATCAAATTCTATTTAATTGCTTTAACTGTGCTGCTGCCATCCCTCCCTCCAAACAGGTCTCACCTTCTAAAAACCTGCGGAGCATTGAGTCTTTTGTAGTTAGTGAAACTTCATCTCCAGCAGCTGGAGTGTCTGGTTTGGACTGAAGCATCTCTACATCTGAAAAAAAAAAAAAATCAGAATGATGAACCTGTTAATTATATTCTTAAATGTGTGGAACAATGTAATATAATACAATAAACTGATGTGGTATTTCTGACCGGACCTTAGGTTTGCGGTGACAACCAAAGAAAAAGCTGGGCAACTGACCAGATATTTTCCTCAAAAAAGGTTTCTGAGTTGCCATGTTCAGTCCACTCTGCACAAATCCTTTCCAGCTGCCTGATGCTTACACTTGAGGATGACTAACACTGCTGTTGAGAAGTTCTGACAACACTTCAAGCAGGCACCAAGTATTGGTTACTACTGAGAGTATTTTGGCCAGATGAAAGTTTTGGCCTCTGCTCCCCGAGAGGAAACCTGCGATTTCGCAAGGCAAGACACTGAAGGCAATTTTCCCATGACCCAGAAAATAGTGTTTGTTTTGTTTCTGAGCTAAAAGTCGAAACAGTTGGCTGAGTTAAATAGTTAGACTGGAAGGTGTTTAGGGGGTCAGATGATAATCCAGTATTGAGAAAAGAGTGACAACAAACAGTAAGATACTTTGTTAATTCAGTGTTTCACATAAAGAATTCCGATTTTTTAAAAAAAGGGTCAACCTCACTGTAACCCTAAAACTAATCCTAAAACTAAAATTGTTAGGTAACCATGCTCCTGATGATATTAAAAACAAGACTGATTAGTAAGTGAATTGTTGAGGCATATCTATTACTGTGTCATAATTCTCTTGCCATGTAAACTAGATGGTTTGGGTTACATGCCAGAATATGAAATATTTTTATTAATGTATTTTTATATTTTCTAATATTTCTTATCATTTTCCTGCAAAGCTGAGATTGTGAAAAAGGAATAAGAATATGCCAGCAAGATTTTGTGGTGTGTTTTTTTTCTTTTTTTTTTTTAAATCAACAATTGTCAAAGGACTCACTGACAGTCATGTGACTGCACTCAACCTAGATTTAACCTTGCAGGAATACCTCCAACATAGTCACAGCACTACTGCATGCTGTGTGGATTAACCACATCAGCAGCTTCTTAGGAGCTCTGCTGTCTGTGCCACACTGCATGCTGCTGGAACTAATCTCCTCACCATCAACCAAATACAAAGTTCACGTACGTGTCACTGCATTACATGAAAGCACAGATTTGACATTTGAGCACGCTAAAGAATCAGCACTACAGACCTGAAGTTTTCTGTAGAGGAATTTTTCCACCTTATAGCCACCTTGATTATTTTTAGCATAGCTTTTAGAAATGAACCTGTAGCAAACACAGGCCCAGAGGAAAGCCACTTCCTTATGGGCTTGGGGGCAGAACAGAACATGACAGGTGTGCAAAGTTCCTTTCATTCTCTGTGTAGGAAACAGTACCTTCCCAATTTTGGCTGTGCTCTGCAGGATTACTAAACCATCAGTGCAACAGGGTACTGCAGGTTTTGCTTTCTATAGTATAGTTAAATTAATCAGCTAACTAGTTCTCCTCAGAAGACAAGATTGCCACCTCGCTACCTTCTTGAACACAGGCCTGTTGCATACAGAGGAGACCTAACACCTCATTCATATACCATAACTGAAAAGAAGTTCTCGAATTTGTCAGTGACACCACCTGCTCCACTTGCTGCAAAAACCGGCTAGTGAGACAGAAGTGACAAACAAGAAGGTGGCACACACAAATGGGTATTACAGGAAAGGTCACCAGATTTTCCTGAAGCTACTGGGGAAAGTTGGTCTGAAGGGTTAGCAGGAAGAGGGTTAAGCAGTTCCTAGAAGTAAGAATTTAGTAGCTAAAAGATATTTATTCAGAGAGTGTCAGTTTCCCTTTGCAGGGTTTAAAGCTTCAGAAGAGAGCTCAACCAACGTGCAAACAGACATACAGAAGATGAACTATGACCTACAGACCCTTCGCAACAGCTAAAATATCCATGTGTGGACACCCTTTAGAAAGTAGGAAGACCCTTCCCTCTGTAAATATTTGTGAACACTAGATGCCAGGTATTCCTGCACACAAAGCAAGCTACCTCTTTACAGAGATTCATTATGCAAGACAAAAGATTCAATGTGTTGGCATAAATCACAACTTGGAACTTTATAAGCATTTATATTTTTGTGCACAGTTCTCTCAGCTTGCTCGAGGATGACAAGGAGGTTACTGTTTCTTGCATTAACTAAGGCAAAAATAAAAATCAATGAGAACAGTGCTGAAAGTTTGGTCTCAAGAGAATAAAATGGTGGAGGAGGGAAGGAATATGCAAGAGAGTAGAATAAGGGCATCACAACTTATTCATACATGAACTAATATCTATTCTTTAGGTGTTGGAGGTCTGCAAATTACAGGACAATAGACTTTAGTCAATTAGACTTTAGTCAATAGACTTTAGTCAACTCTCTAGGTTAAAGGATTACATCTCTGCATGAAACTCACACTATACAGAGTTTGATTGTCCACACAGTTCATAAACATAGAAACAGTGTTATGAGTCCAGATGTTTCAACCAGCTCTCAGCTACTGTCACTGTCAGACCTTGGACACTGAGAATTCAGCCTAACTCTTTCCCAAAGTAAAAGAGCATTAACACCACACACAAACCAAACTGTTTAATCTTCACACAAATCAAACAGGTTTGCAGCACTTTGAAGAGGCCCTGCTCTCCAAGTCCCTCTGTGCTCAACTCTAGCCTACTCAAAATACTGTTTTGCAAAAATCAGCAGGAGGTGCTGGTGGAAGGAAAGCAGAACAAGGAAAGTGCTTTATCTGATACTGTAGTTCATAGTACCAGCCCAATACAATGGAGGCAACCCTCTCTTTTTGCTGTTCAGCAACTGTGTTACTCAGCTAAATGCCATTTACCTGCAACCTGCACAAACCTGAAGCAAATTCTGGAAAATTATATTTAACTCCACAGGTATTTTAAAAGTGTAGTAAGAGTGAAGAGTGAGGGAAGTGCTCTTCTGGGGAAGGAACAATTAGATTAATGATAAAAAAATTAAAGAAGGCAATTCAAACTCAGTAAAAAACAGCAAATTGGGTACAGCAAGAGCTAGTAAGGACCCACTGATATGGTTAGGAATACTTTATGACCTACACTACTCAGGTCATTAAGACCTAGGTGGGAAAGAATGCTCCCCTTCAGAGGAGGGGAGGCAGTGTTCTGTAGATGAACAAAACCTTTTCCATCTTTTTAAATTCCATCAATTATTCCAAACCTTAAAGGCACAGCTAGTAATGCAACACAGGTGTGTGCAACTTAAGCAGTGTCAGTTTAAGCAAAACAGGGCCCTTCCACAGCTTCTGCACTTTCTCTGAAAATGTTTTCCAAGACCACATGCAGAGACAAAAAAAAAAGTAAAACTGCATTGAAAAATCAGAAGTGGTATGAAAAATACAACAGAACACTCTGGTATCCAAGTATTTGCTTCTGCTTTTATCTCATTACAATGGCTCCAGTCCTGTGTTACCTTATTCTCAAACCAGTTCCTCCTGCCAGACAAATTGACCCTGTGGTATTTAACCTTCCTTTGATCAGTCTCTGAAAAGCTGAGGTGGAAGCCTGCCTTGACCACAATAAATAGGCACACTGTATGGCTACTTAAAACAGCCCAGGTATTGTCCTCCACACCACGGTCGTATCTATTCACATAAGAGTAATTCCTAGAGAAAGTACCTCAGTAGTAGTTAATTATGATTTCCTAGTGAGTTTTTCATCCTCACAAACCTTTAAGTCAGTACAATAGCTTGCATCCTTCATTTGTGATGGCAGTTCTAAACCAGCCAGCACTCCCATTAATTTCAGTGGGGGTTTGCCTGTGTGTTGCTTGTGTTCTAAATAATAATGAAACACCTTTAACTTTGAGAGAACCAATCTAAGCATCAAGAACTGTGCCAATTTAAACTTACCTGTTACAATACAGGTAGTTTTTAAGCACCGTTCAGACAAGCTGCAAATATTCTTCAGGCAAAGACTAACAGACTACATAAGAGAAACAGAGAATTTCAGTAAAAGACTCCTGAATAAAAGGCAGCAGAGCTTTGTGTGCAGAGGCAATATACTAGAACTCCAGAAGAAGCAGGAGAGGCTTTTCAGAGTCCAGTTCAAAAGTGATAAATCACAGGGAGCTTGATCTGCATACATGAAAGAAAGGAATATCCCCTGCATAGTTTCTGGGAGATATGGGCATTTCAGGCTTTGAAGAAAACAAGTTCGGCTTAGTAGTTTTAAGCCTGCTTTTTCCCCCTGCACAGGCTTAGTCGATCAACTCCATTCAGCTGTGTACTGCTTGCAGGCAGACCTTGCAATCATCTAGAAACTCTCACCCCCATTACTGCGAACAAGAGCAGCTTTGTTTCTTACAAGTCCAACCCGACTTAGTGCTTATCTCCACCTGAAGGCAGAACAATCCTGGTTTTGGTAGCAGAATCATCCCTGCAGCGACCAAACAAAACTTGCAGAGAAGAATTTATGAGTTCAGGCAAAGAACTGACAGAGTCTTCTGGACTCAATAATCAAGGAAAATGTGTTTTATAGTATCATGTAATCTAAAAGAGCAGAAAAACAGCCCAGGACCAATATAGCCTATAAGCAAAAGTGTTTCAGAAAGGAAACTTTTCCCTGGAGGCAGCACACTTAAAACCTGAAGAAACACTAGAAGTCCTTATGGAGGTACTTAAATTATAAGAAGCTAGATTCTTTGCTCATCATGGGAATCATAAAATATGTCAGTGGGATGAAGCCAGACCAAATAGGTAGGTAAGTAAGAAAAGCAAATTTACAATTGCTTAACATAGGTATTTAACTTGATATTAGCAATTGGCTGAATATTAATGGAATGGTGAAAAAGTTAAAACATCTGCATAAACCGACTGGATTAGAATAATGATTTTTCAGTTATAATCTTTTCAGTATATGTATTTCTATATGCTCCCTTTCTTTTGCTTTGAAGTTGTGCTAAATAAAGCCCAGCCCTTGTTTTTTCCGTTTCCCTGTTGTCAGTAAAATCACATCTTTTTTGTGGGAGTCTGTAAGTCAAGAGTGCCCTTAGGCCACCGGTTCTCAGGAGGGAGAAGCAGAACATGGTAGAAAATGTAGTCTCTTCTATATGGTACATTACTTGCTCAAGGTTCAGGGAGTCCTCAAAACACTGAGGAAACAGCTCTTGATCTTGTACACTAGTAATCAAAAAAAAAAAAAAAGAACAATTTTCTCAGCCAGCCAATATTAGAGATGGAGCTTAGTTTCCTTGTGGTGAGAGCAGAAAAGCTGTAACTGAGGTGCTACTGTGTATGAGAGGCAGGAGCTCTGAGCAACCTGATCTGCTTGAAGATGTCTCTGCTCATTGCAGGGAGGTTGGATGAAGTGAGCTTTAGAGGTACCTTCCAACCCAAACCATCCTATGATTCTGTGATTCTATGAATATACATACAAAGATCTTCTGGAGCACCAGGGACAAAGCCAGCCATGGATTCATAAAGCTCTTCATCGGAGCCAGGATTCAAGGAACACTTCATTAACAGATCTGTGGACAGATGAGCCATGGACTCATAAATAGATTCATCCTCCTCGCCTTGCATCAGCTCTTCCTTAATGTGACTCTTCAGCATATCTGCAGTTTCCTGGAGAGGAAGGAGGGCAAGAAAAAAAAAATTCAAGTTTCATTTAAATAAAGAATGTGGATAATCAAAGCAAGCAAATGATTCTCCTCATTCTCCCATCACTTATGGAAAAAAACACCTAAAGGTAGCCCATTCCCAAAGATTAAGGCTTCTCAAATGAATTAAATTCCCACTACAGCTGACTGGGCCCAAGCCTTCAAGATCTATGTTGTAGTAATAGGTAAGGAAGGTGAAACAAGTTGGTGCTAACACATTCTGAATAGCCATTACAGCCTCTTACCCCTTAAATTTTGTGTCTTACCCAATATCTGCAAACCCCCAGAACATAAACATAGCTCATTCTAAAAATACAAACGCTTGTCAAAGGCTATTTTGGGGCAAGCGTAGCTAACCATAAGGGGGAAAGCTTGCCACATGCAGAGCACCTGCAAGATAGTGAAGTTTTAGCTTTGATGTAGATTCAGTTTCAGTTTCTTGGCCATTAGCAGCAGCATGTACAACACCCAGAGTGGGAGTACACAGACCCTTTCCTGTGATATTAACAGGAAACCTCACAGCAGGCAGCTGTTCACATAATACAGGCAACTTCTAATTCACAGGACAGCAGAACCCTTTTTCACATATTTGCAACATGGAGCAGGGGAAGAATGCAGATCTTCACCAAACCACACCAGGGAGCAAAATGTAAAGTTTCATCCCATCCTACTCCCAAGTTCCAGCTATGTCACAAGCACAGCCATCTTAACCAGTCAAAATACTACAAGATATTCTTCCATCCACAAATGACAACTCAAGGGCCCTCAATCCACAGGGCATGTGGGTCAAAACTGTCTACACAAGCTTCCCTCCATGGTCAAAATCAGTCAGGCCAGTAGTTCATAAGATGCTCTACAGAGGTGCAGAGGAACCTTTGCTAGAGAGAAAATAAGGTGAGTAAAGGGGTTCACTGGGATTTTCAGATATCCACACTAGTAGTGATTCTAGTCACTACCTTGCAGTTGTCACACCAGTGCAGATGATTTGTGTGCTCTGGTACTATGCTGCACAGCTTGACAGTCAGTAAGCAGGACCTGCTCTTAACACAGTTGTCACTGTGCTGGTGGAGAGAATACAGGAGGAGCACAGTACTGCAATAAGAGGTTGGAAGGACTTCCTGCACATCTCTCATTTACCCTCATTACCTGAGCTCTCCTGATCTCAGAACGCACAATAACTTTTATTTAGCTCTAATGTATAATCCTAAATTCATGCTCATATCAAGAAGCAAGCCCCAAATCCAAGAACCACCCATACCTCCTAAATAGGATTTAAATACTACTGCAATTGGCTGGCAGAACCACATTAAGACTAACAGATCTATCACCCTCCATTCTGACAATTTTTAAGGACAATTACACACAACTTTTCAACTGAAAGCAAAGGCAAATAGAATTCATACGATGTGAGTCAAGGAGTTTCTTGTTATTTTGAAGTATACAGGCCTGAAACAGTTCGAATTGAAAAGAAAGGATAAACTCCATGCATACCCAAACTCCATATAACCCATACCCCACAGAAACAATTGCTTGGTGCAGCTGGAATCAGGTCCATGTCATAATCTGGACAAGTCAGAGTGCTGCTTCCTGTGGGTGGGGTTAGCTCAAAGAGAACTGAATTGTGAATTGGGATCCCAGATAGAGCAACTGGGGAACGAACAGCTATACTGATGCAGGAAGAAATGATATCAAGTGGAGGAGGTAGACTGCACAGATCAGCTGTGAATGAGCCAATAAGCTCATCTGACTGTACGTCAATCTGACTGTACCTCAGATACACCTCAAATTGTATCTTCTCAAAAATATTCTGTTTCCATATTACTCCCTGAAGTAAGCAGGATGAAGGGACTGTAGTTTTCCAAAGATGAGAAGTTAGAGGAGTACACCAGGCCCCAACCACATCCCCGCAGAAACTTCATTAGATGAATGGATGACAAGGAAAGCCAGCATGGCAGTCTCTTCTTCCATCTTACTTGGTCTGTGAAAAAGCTCCAGGAATTTCCCTAGCTCCAGAGAAGCACACCTAGCCCTCCTGCCTGGAAGCTTTCAGTGTGGCTGGATGTCTGTGTTCTACACCCTAACACACTACACTGCACAATTTATCATCTCATCACTCCTGCTCACGCAACACTTAAGTGCCAAGCTCGGTGCCACTGCCCACACTCTCTGTGGGACAAGGCAGAAAGACTGCTGCTTCCTCTTACCACATATTCATCAATGAACTGGCGGAGATCCTTAAAGCCATGCTTTTCTGCTATGGTGTTTGGATAGTGGCCATACTTGTTGGCTACACTGTAGGCCTGCAGCGCTCCAGGGCATGTAAGCAGCAAGGCAGTGAGGTTCTTCAGCCCATATCTTGCAGAGAAGTGAAGCAGTGTTGGCAACTCCTCATCCCTCTGATCTGTGAAAACAGGAACCCGTAAGAATGCAGGTTTTTCTCTAGCAGCAAAAGAGACAAAGGCGAGAAACAAAGGAGAAAATATGGGAGACATTTGGGGACCATCATCTTTTCACTCTGGCTGTGTTTGAAGCTGTCTACCCAGCTGCATCTGTCACAATTTAGGAAGTGAGACTGCTGAATAGAATTAAAAAGGGGTCAGCTGACTCAAGGGCAATCCCCTTTCTATAGAAATTAATAAAGAAATCACCAGAAATTTAGCTTCTTGGCTGAGATCCAAGATTCTTGAGGCAGCCTATGCAGGTACCACATTCCACGGCGTTAAGGCACTTCAAGGTAAAACAAGGGATACAAATAAAGTTTAAAAATAAACCAAGAATCTTTCAACTTACTTGCTGTCATATCTTCTTCTTCCAGCTGGTTGATTCCAAACAGGTGTAAACCACTGGCAGGAATGTTCTTCTTGAGTGACTCAGTCAACAGTTTGTCCAGTGCTTCTATGCTGTATGGCACGATTTTAAAGGCCTAGAGATAAATGGAAAGTGCTTTTGTTTGGAGGAGTTTGGAGATTCAGTTAAGGTGAGATTTCTATGGTGCTTTTATTAAACGCAATCAGAAAACAGCAGGTGTAAACATGGAAGGTAGAAATGTTCAGGTCAAGCAAAGAACATGAATAGCTTCCTGGTCCAGAAACACAGTATCATTAAACTGACGAGATGAGAATCATACACTCTACAAGAAGACAGAGCATAACGAGAAAGTCACTCATTCAACTGCAAGCATAGAAAACTCTTGCCTCCTACTTTCTTGACAGGTACAATCTTACTTCTGAAACTGTTCCAATGAAGTGTTCCTCCTGCTTTAAGTATGCACTAGCCCATGTTTAATTACTCTGGTATAAACTCTGGGTTTGGCTTTTGAGCAGGTTCTTAGCCACTGGGAAATATGCCTATTCCCCAAGCACAGGCATCAACCAGTACCAACTTCTTCACAAGCTGAACTAAAAAGTAAAGGAAACACAGTCTCCCTTGCCCCAGATATACTGGTGACTACCAGCACTACTCTGTAGGCTTCTGCTACCCGGCCAACCAGGGACATGCAGGCAGGCAGCAAGGCAACACACCTGAGAGCTTGCCTTGTGCAAGCTTTACCCCTCTAAGAGGGTTCAGGTACCCCAACTGGGCAAAATACAATATGAAAACTGAGGAGTGGCTTTGTTAAAGAAGTGCTAAGAGGAAACAAATAATTTTATGTTACCCTGCTTCCTTCAGATAATATGAACCTTTGTTTCTATTCACATCTTTTTCAAGAACACTTAGGTACAAATTCCCAAACAGTTTATTTCTTTACAGTACTTTCTGTTATACCAAGTTTTGTAATTCCAAGCTTTTCAAGTCATCAAGATCTAAATGTGAGTGTTGATTGACTGCACTTTTTTTTATTAGTTGGATAACCTGACTCAGCCAGCTATGTCCTTCAGAGACAGAAAAAGCACCCATGCTTTCGCTAGAAGGGGGTGTTAAGGTCATGTGATAATCCCTAAATGACCTTGCATTTCTTCATTTCAGAAGAGCTACTTCACGGCAAGCACTTTTGCTTATGCCCACTTGTCTTAGCCTCTGAAGAAGCTGGTTTCCAAAGCACAGTTTCTATGTTTGCTAAAGTCGTTACCTGGCACATGAACTGCACGGGGTTGGCTGCATTAGCCAACAGACTGCTGATTTCTTCCATGTCCGTGTGGTAAGTGACACTTGTTTCTCCCACCATCAAGTCCCCTGAATATATCTGCAGAGGTACTGTCCCAGAGGTTAAATCTTTGAAAAGAAAGTGCAGAAATCACCATTAGAACAAACAGTAGCCATGAGTTTGCACCAAATACTGTGAGGACAGGAGTTTGGATATAATGCCAGATGGATACCAAAACAGTTTCTGCTGTACTGATTCACGAAGAGTCATAAAAAGAGTCATGACCTTGGTCTGAACATTAAATAGGAAAGTACTTCGTAACTACCTTCTTAATATCTATATCAGTGCACATAGCCTGTGACCTGCTAGGTCCTCTGCTAACAGTAGACTGGACCATTGATGTGAGCAGTACTTCACCTCAAATTAGAAAGCCTCACATCTCTCCATCCCTGGCTTTCTCTGGAGCTCTCTTTAAAGCCGTGCCATAAAATACAAGAGAAGGGAGAGAAATCTGAAAAGTAACTGAGAATTCTGTAATCTCTGTCAGCCTCATTAGTCTCTAAATAAGATCAATTTAAATGAATTCCAGCTTTGCAACTTTATCCATGCATAGGATTTTCTTCTACCTGCACTTTGAGAGCTTCCTGATGTTTTGTCTAGTGTGCATTCACAAGTCTGGACTTTCTCTTTGAAACACAAATATTTTGAAACCCACTGAATTAATCTTTCCCCGTTAGCAACTCAGGAAATGATGAAATGGTTACAGTCACACAAGAAAAGAATTAAAAATTACTTCTCTTACTGTTAGAAACTGCAGAACTTCAACCGTACACTCCATCAATGTGAAGATCACGTTTGTAATTCAAATACAAGCTAGTTTTGAGGTCTTTGCTTAAATTATAAGTCTTAAATTTAAGACAGATTAAACTGAACCTTTATATGTGGGTGAGGTAACCTTCTTTAAATCAACCCACCTCACTGACTTTATGGGAGTTACTATAATGACTATTAGTCTCTATTCTCAGAGCTGGAACAATGACTCTCCAAGAGGACAGACCAAAGTAGATTAAATAAAATAATGCTGGGAAACTATCAATCTTTAAGGTTCTGAAATTGTGCCCCTAAAGTTTAGTGAATCTGAAGTTTAGACAACCTTTAATTTTGTAAATGTAGATATCTAGGGTGACAGAACATACATAAATTAAAAGGCAAGCCAGAATAGTTTCAGTTCTAATCACAGAGATCATTACACATTAAGCTGTCATAGTCATGCAATTATTTAACTAGCACACTGGTACCCTGCCAATGCTAATGTGGTGGTGGTCATCACACAGTTAAGTTCAACATGCTTTACAAGCTTCAAGGTGTTTCCATACTGCAACCTACTGCTGCTGGGGGGAAAACAGAGACCCCAAGCAACAGTCTCTCTTAGCTCCTCATCACAAAAGTATAACAAAATATGAGAATGCAAGTCCAAGATTTTCTAGCCTCAATTTTTTCTGCATTGCAACCTTTACCCTCCGGCACTTCTCAGGACAGGCAGGTTGAGATAGAAAGGAAGCGATGGGGGAAGGAGGTGGGGAAAATCTCAGTCCAGCTTACTTGGAGCCTTCACAGAGATTGTGTACTCATTCTCCATCTCAGCCAGTACACGCACAGAGGATGCATTCTCTGGAGAGAATTCAACTTCAGTTTTCATTTCACCATCTAGTTTACATTTCATGATAATATAAACTGTTGTCTGCACCTAAGAGAAAAGGCATTACAACACACAGGTTCAACACAAAGTTAAGTACATTTTCTAGGAATTTTGTCATCATTGCAACTAACACATGAATTACCATCTGTCATTTTCACAGTCCTGAATGGTTTTCAGGAGCATCTTCCAGTCATGGACTAACTGGGCAGGTGGCTTCTGCTACAGGTTGCACCAGCACAGATACATGGATTAAACTGATAAAACTATAGATTATTCAGATAGATTTATATACTGATTAAAGCTAGATTTATAAAATGATTTAGTTTCAACTCTATCAATCTCTTCGCTCTAGCAGCACAGCCACATTTTAAATAGAAAGAAAAGAAGAAACTTAGGCTCTTTCCATCTGAGGAGATGCCATACTAAAAAGTGCTATTTTTCACACAAGAAGCCCTAATTCAAGCTCTTCAGAGTCACTTATGAGGCACAAACCAGAATTGTCATATTAGACTGCATCCAAGCTCTGGAGTTAACTTGTTCATTACAATCACCTTACTCCACTTACCACCAGAACAGAGGAAGGGAAGGGTGTGAACCTGCCTCGCAGCACACAAGCCAAGCATCTGTGTTAATGAGACTGTCAACCAGCGACACAGCAGTCTTGGCTGCACTGAGCACTGCATGTTACCAAGCTATTCCTGGGCCTAGGGAACCAAGCTCGTAAAAGAGACACTGAGGACAGGGGGCTGAGAGCGAAAGTGACAGAAAAGGAATTTGGGACTAATTCCCAGGCCTGTTAAGCTGACCATTACAGAGCAACATAATGGGTTGCACCAGCACACAGTGAGAACGTAGCCCAACAGTGGACATACAGTACCCCACACTGTATGCGGTCAGGCTGCACCACTGGATGGTCCCCAGTGCTCTTGGATGATCCGTGTTCTTCACTCATGGCAAGACTGTGGGAGTAAGCTGGATTCTTCTCGTCTTCTGTTTCTGTATCAGTCACAGAGTCACATCCGGAGTCTAAAATAAAGCATAGAGAGTCTTGTTACATCACTCCCCTTTGCTGAAAATGCCTATCACGCTCATCCATCCTGAGAAATGGCCAGGGAGGTAGTGGGGCGGAACTTGCCATTCCTCTCAAAGAGAAAAGGGGATCTAGTTGAGGAAAGGGAAACTACAGAGCTTCCTCTTTTTTTCCCTTAAGAGATTTTCCAGGGAAGATTCACAAAGACATAAAAGTGGGGGAATAGCACTGAATATGCTTACAAAACAAACAACAATGCCACTCTTTGCTGAGATGGAAAATCCCCTCTCATGTTAGACAGGAAAATCAATATGTGAATGTCTAATGTAAGAATGATCAGCAACTGGACTCAATTGACTCCAGCTTCACTCTGATACACTGTAAGATGGCCAGCAGCCTTTAGTGTTCCTTTCCTAAAGTAAATGATGAAACCCAACTTTTCTGTCATGTCAGTAGCATCTTCAGTTTTCTCAACCCTGCTTATGTTGCTCACCCAAACTCCCAAGACTATTATTGCATCAAAGAATACACCATGAGGCAGTAGCATGAAGGGGTTCTGTTCCTTGAGCAACAACTATAAGCTCCAGTATCTTTACAAGAGTGAAATTGAAATGTACCAGAGCCTTAGCATTGAAAGTAACAGCACTTTACCTAAGCAGTCTCAAGAGTAGAAGTAAACATATGTAAGCCCAAAATAAGTGTGTACAAAACAATGTTCTTGCTCCCATTTCCCAAAACCAGCACAGATATTGATGGAAGTGCAAACAAACTGAATTGATATCACTGACTGAAAAGAAACCACCCTAGCCAGAACTAAAATAGATTACTTACCCCTGCCAGGAAATACTTTTCTCAACTAGAGAAAAGAAACAAAAGACGATTTTGTATCTACTTAGTAGAGAACACTTTTTTAGCTAGTTTCTACCTTTGATTCACATGGTCCCACTAGGTTTTTTCCCTCTGTCTCCCAGAACATGGGGTGAAAGTGACTGAGTTTCGCCTTGTCAGAAGACTGACATCAATTCTTAAAACTATCTCCCATGACCAAAATTTCCCAAACTTTGGAAAACTGTGGAGCAGTCAAGAATTTAAGACAACATTTTGAAAGTTATTTGTCATTTACTACTTAGGATAAAACACATCTGTAAAAAGAAGTACAAATTACTTACTAGATAGAACCTCAGATTTGGACTGACAGAGTTTTTATACTAGTAAAAAATGTTCTATTTAAAATGCTCTGTCCTGAAGAGAAAGATCTAAGTGACCAACCATGCTGTCTAACCTGTGGCATCCATCCAGTCAAGCTTGTCAAGAGTTCAGATTTTACTCAGAATCCCTCAATCTTCAAGTACATTAAGTTTCCACAAATCAGGAGAGCCAAAGTTAGTAAAAGCAGGCCACCACTAAGAGTTCATGTCCTCTTAGTTTCAAACGTTGAAGTCAGTCAGGAATTTAAATCTAGACTTCTTCATCATTATTATTATTATTATTTTTATTACCAAAGACTTAAGATATTTGAAATTCTTTTTCACACACTTTTTTAAAATATATTTTCTATACATTTAAATGGGATTTTAGGAATTATAATAAATCAACTTTGCTTTCTAGAGACAAGTTTTAAGCCACAAAACTTTAGCAAATCATTCAGCTGAAATCTTTGTCACAAACAATGGTGCGCACACACTTAACTAAGTATGTGAATCTCTCCACATAGCAACTAAGCCTACTCACATGAGTACACGTAGATTGCTTCTTTAATGTTTGCTGTAGAAAGATTGGAGCCAAAAATTTACAGCTCTAAAGTTCAACTAAGGCATCACCACTAATATTGACATTTCTTAAATAAACCTAAAACAATGCACGTAACTTAGCAAATAGATTTTAATACTGCACTAACCCAAGTCTGAAGATTTGACTAAACAATTACTTTGACACAAGGCTAAAGGCTGTACTGAAGGTGGTCTTTCAGATTTTTAAACAGTGGTACCAAGTATCAGAGAAAATGAACTAAGGCTTTATATTCCTTAACTCAATATTTTAATCTATACTGTTCAAAGTCATCAGCTGCAAAAGCCACACACATTTTTGGGAACCCTTCTCTGAGAGAAACATGCACTACTCCCACCTGGAAGTGCCAGGCTGCCCAGCTGCATATAGGAGAAAATACAGCACTGATCCCACATCCTTCCCTTACACAATAGTTATCACATCAGATATTTGGCATATGTAGAGCAAAATGTCATGTATTTTGGGGAGCAGAAAAGGCAACTGTTACCAGAATAGTCTCTCTGTAATTTCTGTTGCTTTCTTCCAGTATGACTAAAACAGAAACACTAAGCTCAAGGCAGATGAGAGAGCCAGTAATGACCAAATTACAACAAACCATTAATGTTCCTGCAATATATGCATAAATGGACACTTGCCAATATCCTGATCCTCAAGGTATCATCCCCAACCCAATATGGAATCATTAGTGTGGTAATTTTTACCTCATTTGGCCAACATGTGGTCCTTTTCAGAGAAAAATTAAACCTAAAGCTGTGGATCTCAGCTACAACATCTACAGTAAGCAAGGATAAGACAGGGGGCAAGAAGAAAACAAGCCCCTGTTCTCTCTGCTTTAATGATGTTATTTGATACTAGAAAAAAATTAACAGATGAAGAATAACTAGAGCTTTTAGGAAGTTCTGCCATTGCCTGACCCTGTCCTGCACTTCTGCATTCTTGTAACAGAGGTGGCTACCCAGAGGTCATTCGTGAGCACAGAGCTGTTAGGTAATGCAGGAAGAAGCAAGCAATGTTAATCAGTAATTGGATTAACAGCTGATGGAACAGGCACTCAGAGTTTCGGGTATGAATTACTCATCTGTTTTTTCATTCAGAAAATACTGAAATTGCAAAGTACCACATAAGCAGTGAAATGATCCTATGATTCATCTTGTAAGTTCCAATCATGTATGACTGACTGACTCATGAACTCAAGAACTGGAAGAGGAAACCATCCCATTACATTCGATAATATCCATGTTCTAAAGCATTGTTAGATCAGGCTTCCCACTCACTAAGATACTTGAGTAATCGCAACCTATTTGCATATAAAGATTAAGTGATTATATTATTATAATGATACCTACACTAGAGAGGCCATCACCAAGGAGATCAACAGACGTATTAGAAAAGTAATGAATACCTGAATTGAGCTTCTCCATGAGCAGGTGCTGTAGGTCAAAACAGTTCATGGCTCTGCCTTTCTGTTCCCCTTTAAACGAAGGCTACCTCAGGCCTCACTTGACAGTCTGTGAAATACTTGTGAGAACAAGCAGCAAGCGGAGGAGATGCGGTCCAAGAAACCCAACCGCATTTCCCCTTGAAGAACATGTCCCCCCCGGGAAGTGCCAGTGGCTGAGCTGCAGAGAGCAGCCCCACACCCTTCTCGCCTGCCCTGCAGAGCTCACTGCACAGCTGCCCTGCAGAAACTCACCCCAGAGAAAATCCCAGGGAAAATGGAGGCATGAACATGTGCTTCAAGAGCCATTTAGCACTTTTAAAAGCTAATATGAAGCAGCCAGTTATTCTGGCCTGCTGCTGTAGAGCCCGCACAGCTCGCTCTGTCATCCATTTCCTCCCGGCTAAGCTGGCAGGCTATCGGCATGGAGCCGGCAGCTGTGGTTTTTCACAGTCAGCCCTTACACCACGGGACACGTGAATGCTTGGAAGGAGTCAGCAGTCTGTCCAGATCACTTTGTCATCCAGAGAGTAATGCAAATGGCACAACTGGGCAACAGTGGGTCTCTAAGTGCTGCCTGTGTGGACCAACTCCCGGCTGGCATCTGTGAACACTTCCCACTCTGTCCACTGAGCAGGTGAGACAACTAGCTGTCACGAGGCCTCAGACTTTCACCCCAGTATGCCCAGAGCAAGACAGAAGGCCCACCAAGAGAGCTCCCGCTTTTATCTGAAGCTTGCAATTGGCCAGTCTCCTTTTCCAAATGTTAACAAGGACACAGTCTCCCAGAGCAACTCCAGCTGCATTTGCAAGAAGCAGGCAGAGCACTCCCCCCAAAAGAAAGTCAGGGAATGCGGGGAAAGCTATCTTTCATCATGCTAACCTCTTTACCAAGGAGATAAGCACTCATGAGTGAAACATCTTGTGATAAGCCCTCAAAATGGGGTTATACTGTAGCAACATTTCCCCTTTCAACAGAATGGAAAGAAACAGCAGAAAAGAAGCAATTGAGAAGAACAAAACACAGGAAAATGTAAGACTTTGTAAAACTTCCCCTTCTCTCCAAACCCCTCATCCCAGGCAGCAGCACAGCACAGCACCTACAAACAGATTTTCAGTTCTACAAAGAGCATGGTCATGTTTCATATGTTGTGTAAAGCTGGAAACTACAATAAACTATTTCTCATCCTCCATCAGGAAATAAGGTATATTTTACTATATCAAGTTCTGCTGAGGGTTTCACAGGTCTAGTGGTCAATTTATGACAGGATAATGTGTATAAACGTAAAGAACTAGCTGGGGTGCATGGGAACAGGACAGAGGCAGGAAAGACTTTCCGAGGAAGAAGCAGGGTTCTGGTCACCCAGAAAACAGACACGGAGTACATGACCAAAATCTCAAGAAAGAGAGGCCAGAATAGTTCACTTCCATCCCCTGTGCCAGAAGGAGACAACACATATTGACAAAGTGTATGCATGACTTTTGAGGGTGCCAAGAATTCACATTACATCCACCAATGATTCAAGTTTTCCTGAGCAGCCACAGGTAAGAAACACAAACATCCAACTTGCCAATTCAGTATCTCATCTTGTCGTATCTCCTTTGTTCAGTTTAAGAGCAATGTGTAACACTTGAATGACAGCAAAGACGTTCCCTGTAAAAGCCTACGAAGCTGGAATTCCACCACAGAGAGCTGGGTAGCTGCTTTGGAAACATTCAATGAGGAGATCACTGTTTGACTGAAGGTGTGGTTCTACAAGTGGTTTCAGC